GACTGGACAGCAAGCTCATAACATACTTTGCAGTTCATGACCAAGAGTTATCAGGATAGGAAGAGTTGCAATATATGATATTCTGAGCACTCAAATACATAGCAGGCTGAGCAGCAACAGGATGTAGGGCACACAACTAGATTTAGAAGGCAGGAAGAGCACCAACATCCAAATGCAAGATGGAGTCTAGCCAGCTCTCATTACAGGAAGAGTATGAGGTGTGGCTGCAGTGACTGCTACATTAGTTTGAATATGAGCAGTACAGAAGGGAGGGAAGAGCCATTATAATGTCTCAAATGGCAAGCACATATCAAGAGACCACATTTGATGTATACCATCACCTCTACAGCACCAGTCACCTCTGGACCATCTTCCAAAGCAAGCAAAGCCTTGTATAGTCCTAACAATGTTGTTTTGAGGTGCACAGCAGACCATCGGACATCACTAGTTCACTTGCACCATGGTATCTTCCCAAGAGCAGAAATAGGTGGCCATAGAAAGATAGCATGACTGGCAAGAGAATTTAATTTCTAAAAATATAAGATGTTAAGAAGCAGAAGCTTATGGTACAGAGAAACGATGCGTACAGTCTTGTGGGGCAGGCTCAAGATGTGTTGCATGAGTACGTGTATCTTTGGAGCATGTACTTTGGGAGCCTCTGGGTTGCATAACAAATGGCTTCTAGGCAAGCTTAATATAGGGAACAGACATTCAAAGTGACTGGAATCCATAGAGAGATGCTGGGCCTAGGAGCAGACAAGATATCGGAGGGGTGGGCACGGTGGTTGGGTGTGTAGAGAAGATGAAGTCGCATGCGCATGCACAAAAGGCAATCCAAAACAGGCAGTTTGCAGATACGGCACACAAGTCTGGCCTCGATCTCATCTAAATCGCATTGGATAGTTCTAAAACTTGGAATTACAGTAAATGGAGCTCATCTAAGTATTTCGTTACAGCCGATTTTAGTACCAAGTCCATATGTCCGTGTTATGCATAAGATATTGTGGGGTGGTCCGCTTCCTGGTCCGGTCCGGTACCTGATTGGATACAGTATACGGCAATTTAATGATAACCAATATCACTTGGAGGTAATATTCATCTTGTTCCAGTTTGAGTCGCTTCCACTTACTCGCCCATATCCCGCCCAAGAATGCCCCCGAAAGCAGCAGCAAAAAAGGGAGGAAAGCCTAAGAAAGAAAAGCTCTTCCACCCTCTGTCGCGCAAAGCAGATCAGCTGGTGAGGGCGCAGCATCGGAAAAGCAGACTACGGGAATCAGCCAAGGAAAGAACAAAAAGGCAGGAAGTTGAAGGTATGCCTCTCGATCTGTAGCATATCGTGTCGCTAAGAGTGTGACTTAGCGGATATCCACAGCTTCTTTTTTCATGCGACACCGCGGGAGGGGGTCCTAACTCTCGAGGACCTTCATACGATAGTACGCAACGTCTGGCTTGCTAGGTACGACGGAATGCTCGAAGAGGAAAAGGCCGCGAGAAGACCTGGTCGCCCGAAGAGTGCTAAGGAACAGAAGATTGAGGAGCTAAAGCTACGAGAGAGCGAAGAGTATCGCACGGGTCTAGGTGCGCTCTGTGCAGCATCGCTCCGTACCGCTCCCTCACTCACTTCTTTACAGAGGTCATAGATCTCACAGAGCCAGCCAATGTAGCTCTGTTTAAACAGTGGGATCAAAAGTCGCCATCATTTATAAAACAGCTGCGCTCCATCCGAATCTTCAGCTCCTCGTCCGAGGCCTTCGCTGTGGCAAGGTGGGGTAATCACCCTTCGCTACCTAAGCTTCCGAAGCCGCAGCCAATAATCGCAGCAACAAACGCTCCATCGGCGAATTCGGAGGATGTTGTCATGGATGAGCTCGAAGCACCTTTATTACTCGATCCTATCTCTCGCTTCTCTTCAACGATCACGGGGATGGATGAAATTCCTGCACAATCATCTGTACAATAATCTCGACTACCCTGGATGATTACAGAATTACCATATCACAGAACACAGACTCCATGAGCATTTGCTCTCGGGACGTCCAGACGACGAAAAATAAATTGAACATTATCTATGACGCATACACCACTTCGACAAACCTATCGTCATCTTCCGCGCGACATTCCATCACATATCCCGACGGCGACGCATCGAGCTCCCACTCCCTCCTTAGTCTCCCGTAAATAAGCTTGAAACTCGAATGCGCGCCCTTCTCCATCACTACGTTCAGTGCCACAGTAAATCCAGCGACTGCCTGCACCGTGGTCGGTATCCGCATCTCCACACGGAATTTCACAGGCTTGACCGTTACCATCGCCCCCGCCGGGTCTCGCGTCTCCTCCAGCCTGCACTTGAGTATTCCCATGCCCTCCGCCTGCACGAGCGTTGCAGTAACGCCCATTTCCTCGAGGATCCGCTTGCACTCGCTCCGCGTAACCTGTGCGTCCTGGGTGGAGAGCAGCTGGTACGACGCAGGTCCGAAGCGGAAGAAGCCCCCGAACCAGCTGCGTTTCGGCGTCGAGTTTAAGAAGTACGATCCACTGTCTCCGGAGGACGAACCAGACGAACTGGTCGATCGATCTGACCGGGTGCTGTACTTCTTGCGCAGCTTCGAGTCTCTGCCCCGCCCCTTAGCGTTGATGGATGGCTCGACGATTGAAACGCGCTTATCGGTGCGGCCGCTGTCCGCTGTGCTACTGCTCCGCAGCGACGACTTGCGTTCCGGCCAGTGCTGATCTGCTGACAAGTACTCCGACACGTTCTCCTTGTCCGTGTGGCGCCGTCGGATGCTGAGTGGACGTGTCGTTTTGCCTGCGCGTACCATATCCGCGAAGGTATCCATGCCTGCAAGGTAGTCGCCCGTGCCCGCGCGCACGTTGAATGGCGTACCGAGATTGACAGTCAACGGCGTAGGCGGCGGCGGCGCTGTCGCGGCAGGAGAAGGTGCCGCGCTTCCCGTGGACCGCTTCTGGTTCGAACGGCCGCTGGTCTGCATGACGTTGAGGTGCTCGACGATCTGCTGGAAGAAGTTCTGGATGCGCTCGTCGCGCATCTCCGGGGCATTGAGCTGGCTAGCATCGGGGGAGGCGAGGGACTCGACGTCGCTAAAATCTCCCCGGGCAGACGATGTCACATCGGGGGTGAAGACTTCGGACCCAGTTGCGGTCAGCTGGCGAACGTTGCTCTCAGGAGTGGTGTCAGGCTCAGACCTGCGTGCCCGACGGGGAGTGGGCGGTCCAGTGCGCGGTGGAAGATCCTCAGCGATCCTGACTCGCTGGCTCTTCTTCTTGGCCTTCTTGGTCCTCCGCTGTTCCGCTTGCTTCTCCTCGTCCTCGTCGTAGTTCTCTAGACGCTTGGCGCGATAGCGGACAAGCAGGTGGTAAACGCCCTTCTCCCGGGTCTGTTTGTCGCTAGTGAGGTTCTCCTTGAGCTGCACGTCGGAGACTCCCGGCCAAAGGGTACGGAGGTTTGCAAGAATGTCTGAGTCAACGTCATCGTCGCTGGGTAGAGGACGCGCAATATCATCGAGGCTGGGGGCCTCGTAGGGCATCACCTTCGGGGGTTGAGACGTATAGAAGGGATGCTTGAGGATCTCGTCCACAGTGATGCGCTTCGTGACGTCCTTCTCGAGCATTCGCGAGATCAAGTCCTGTGCGCGGGAGTCAACTTCCCTAGGCATGATGTACTTGCCGATCTTGACCTTCTCAAGGAGCATGCCGAGGTCTTCGTCGTCGAATGGTAACCGACCAGCGAGCAGCGCGTAGAGAATTACACCGCACGACCACACGTCAGAGCAAGCACCGTTGTACGACTTGCCCATGATGACCTCGGGCGCGGCATAGTGTGGGCTGCCGCATGCAGTCTGTAGTAGATCGCTCTTGCCTTGCCACGCGGCCATGCCGAAATCCGCTACCTTGATGTTCCCATCGCGATCGAGGAGCAAGTTTTCGGGCTTGAGGTCGCGATGTGCGACGTTGAAGCGGTGGCAATAGTTCACGGCGGTGATTATCTGTTGGAAATGCCCAAGCGCTTCGGAGGTAGAGAGACGGCCCTTGTCGCAAAGGTAGTCGAAAAGTTCGCCGCCTTCGACATACTCGAGGATGAGGTACAGCTCCGTAGATGTCTCCCAAACGTCGTAGAGGCGCATAATGTTCGGGTGCTCGATCAGCTTCATGATCACGATTTCGCGCTCGATGCCGTGCAGAACACGCTTGGCTTCTTCATCCATATGTCTCAGCGAGAGACGGGAGTTGAGCACGCTCTTGGAGACGATCTTGACCGCGGCGTATTGGCCGGTCTTCGAGTGACGAGCTATGCGCACACGTCCTGTGAACATAGCATGAGCTTTGCATAAAGATAAACATGTCGTATTATTGACCTGAGCTGCCCTTTCCAATGGTTCTTCCGATTTTCCAAAGGCCAATCATCTTCGGGTCGTTCTCCTTTCCGACGCGGCGAGAAACGCGAATGTTGTCGGCCATGTCGACCAAGATGTTGACAGAATGAAGTGCGCACTAGTCTTGCAAACGTGGTGGTCGTCTAGAACTAAGCGTCCTTGGAAGGCCCAACGCACGACTCTGGGCTGACATGCGTTTGAGGCTGACCTCGAGTCTGGATTGAAATAGGGTCCGACTGGACTGAAATACCAGTGATATGAATATTAGGAAAAGCCGGAATGTAAAATATAGCGTTCTGGTTATGCTGACCTTTCGACTGCATACGATTGAAGCATTGCAGAGGGACGGCTCAACAGGCCTCGAACCTCCATGAGCAAAACTCTATGCTTACCTAATATGGATTCACGGTGAAATCATTGATGGCGGGACATGAGCGCCGCCCCGACGCCCCGACGTTGGTCAGCTTCCTGCGCCATCGACCATGACGCTGAAGCTGAGATTGAGCTCGTCGCCGGACCCGACATCGCCATTTTCATGGGACAAAGTCCCTGGCAGTCCTCAACCACCTCCCGAGGCAGACCAATCCAACCCGTCCTCGCCGGCGCCGACACAATGGCTGTCCGCGCGTGACATGAAGGTCTTTGGGGCCTCACCTCTAAAGTCCACAGTTGGTATTGTGAAGTGCAAGGACTGCGAGAAACCAATCCTGCGCAGCGCTATGGCAGAGCACGCTGGTGAGTTGCACATGTTCGTAAGTGGCGACGGTCTCGCTCAACGTCGTAGATGCGTGCCTGAAGGTACGGAATGCTGCAAAAAAGGGCGGCAAGGGCAAGGTGGAGCCTATTGGTGTGTGTGCAATGTTTCTGCTACGGTGCTTCAGATACTCATCTGCACCAGTAAACGGGAAGAAGCGTAAAGCCGATGATGAAGAGCCACCACACCCAGACGAACCACCCAAGAAAAAGAAACCCTTACCAAAGGTCACGAAGGGCAGGGCAAAAGGTCCTGTGGACCTCGATCGACAATGTGGTGTTATCAACGATAAGGGCCTGCCGTGTTCGCGCTCTCTGACGTGCAAGTCGCATTCAATGGGCGCAAAACGCGCCGTGCCCGGCCGTTCTCGCAAGTACGATGACCTATTACTGGATTGGAACAGGGAGCACAACCCGAACTTCGTGGAGCCCGTGAAACGAGAGTCAAAGCAGGAGAGAAAGGAGCGCAAGGAGAAAGAGAAAGCTGAGAAGAAGCGGCTCACGATGGAAGCTGCTGCTGCGGCAGGAATCGACGTCCCGAAGAAATCGGGCGGGGCGGGTGGTACGAGTACGAAAAAGTCCAAGAAAGCGGCGGCCTCTACCGCCACGACGATCGGCGCCGCCGCCATCGCCGCGAGTACGAAGCCAGACGATGGCAACGACCTAGAGGACGTCGATTCCGAGACGGAGATGGATGCCCTTGTCAACACCGTCCGACACGCTCAAGAAAAGGGAATGCTAGGCCAGCCGCTGGCAGCACCCTACGACGCCAGTTCTTGGTTCGTTGTGCGGCGGGAGCGGGTGCGGACGTGCCGAGATCTACTTGCTCTTGCTCTCATGCCCTCAGCGCGCGCTGCCGCGCCTGGTGCTCCTGCAGCAACTCGGCTATGATTTATCAGACACAACTGATACCCTGCCACATGACGATACCCTTTCTACCGACCTTAAATCCCTCTCCCTCCATTGGTCGAGACAGCTGTAATATCACTGGCACAACGAATCCTTGTACTACCGGGTGCTAGATGCACAATAGAATATATCATACACGACGATCGAAGCTAGTCATGTTACCTCCTTGCCTGTTTCTCCGGGTCTTTAGACATGTCGACTAAGCCCAGCACCAGATTATCATGCGGTGTGGTGCAGGTACCTCACGCAGCCCGAGGTTCGGAACGGTGATCAGCATTTCAATCCACGCAGTGGCAGCAAGTCTAGCCCGAGCGAAAACCGCGTTTGAAGGCGTGTCGAGACCAGCAGCCCTGTACAAATGTGGTATGTGGTCGTCCCACCAAGCACCAACTGTGATGATGTAGGTACGGTACGCGGTGCGTTCGCGGACCGACGTGCCTACTTATTGCGCAAAACCCTGATGGACACCCCACCAAGTGACCATATCGTGACCATGTCGGACCATCCTTCAAGCTTCAAGGACTGACCGGGGGAACGGATGATAATCGTGGAAGATAAAAGGACGCACGGCCCCCAGGATCCGGGACGCGTACGGAATCTCCTCTCACGCATTGCTGGCCGCAGGAGGTGAGGAATACGAAACCAGTGATATATCCTCATGGCATCGTCGCCGTTCACTCTTCGCTGGGGTGTTATTGCCACAGGCTGGATCTCACAGCAGTTCGTGAAGGTAGACAGACTTTTGTTTAAGGCCGCCATAGTTCTGACTAGCAGTCTCCCAGGATGCGCTCTTAGACCCCGCGACGTGCGTACCGAGTTCTGCTGAGCAGTTGCAACACTTACCCTCGCTTGTCGGGCAGCCGAGATGTGCACGACGTCAGGCACGTTGTGGCAGCGGTTGGCTCCCGCAATGTCGAGAGCGCAAAGAAGTTCATTGAAGTGTACGCGAAGGATGATAGCAGTATCAAGGCGTACGGAACGTACGAAGAAGTCTGTGCTGACCCTGTAAGCGACCACTCTGGCCTATATGGGATGCTCACGTTCATACATGTGCACAGGACGTCGACGCCGTCTACATAGGTAAGCGTCCTCAAAATTGTGTTACCGCTGTACCAACCTGGAATACAGGCACGCCGCATACCTTCCACTACGAGAACGCTCGGAGTGCACTGCTGAATGGCAAACACGTCCTTTGTGAGAAGGCGACGACGTCGAACGCAGCAGAATTACGCGATTTACTGAAACTCGCAAAGGAGAAGAACTTATTCTTCATGGAAGCGCTGTGGACCCGTTTCCAGCCTCTCACGCTGGAAATTAAGCGAATTGCGGAAGATGGAAGCCTGGGACTGCCTGTCGTGCTCCATGCGGATCTGTCTAGTGACTTCGACATCGAGAGTGAGCTCTTAGCAGAGACTGACACATGATCGAGCTTACACAGGAGGGCAGATATTCCAAAGACCCACAGAATTCTGGATCCAAGGCTCGGAGGAGGGGCTCTATTGGACCTGTAAGTCACTTTGGCACCCGGTGTATAAATGCTGACAGATAGAGCAGCGGGCCTTACCCAGTGGCTTGGGCAGTCATTGCCCTCTATGAACACCCGAAAAACAACAAGGCCCGCCCAACTAGTGTCACTGGGTCCATTGTCAAGACTCCGCTGACCGGCGTTGACAGCAGCACGTCCATCACGCTCACCTTCAGCGAGACACTGCAGGCGCAGGCCATTTTGAGCTGCAACATCCTCGTGCCCTCGCCCACACCCGCTGTGACAATTCGCTACCAGGGCGGCAACATCCTTATCCACCCGCCCATCTTCAAGCCGCCGTCATTCACCGTGCAGTACTTTGACAAGCCCGGCAGCGGTAACATCGTACGCGAGGTGACACAGAAGAGCAATATCCCTGGCGGCGGATGGCATTACCAGATAGACGAGGCCGTGAGGTGTATCAGGGACGGCAGGATCGAAAGTGAGATTTGGAGTCACGACAAGAGCCTCTTGCTTATGGACATCTTCGATGCGGTATGTTTTCACATCCGAACATGCACAGCATCGATTGAATATAGCACGTAGGTCCGCAAACAAGGGGGATACGAGCTGCCAGAAGGCGTCGAGAAAGTGCGGTAAAGAGAAGCTTTATTGTAACAACCTGATGCACAACACATGATAAGCGTTCGGCATGAGACGCGTCGTATATGAACTTTATAAGACTTTGGGTGTGAGCCTACAAGGAACTTCGTCAGTATATGCCATGAACGAGGACGTCGTAGACAAACGAAGAGTCAGTCAAAGCGAGCACACTGCCAAAGCAGCTGCCCGAAGGTAGCTGAGATAAGTTTCTGCACCGTAGGTTAACCCCACTAAAGCCAAATGCCTCAAACATCACGCGTAGAAGGATTTTCCAGCAAATAAGATATCAGAGAAGATACTCACAGTAGCGTAGCAGAGGTGAACGACGCTCGCAAAGTTGTCCCGCCACAAGAGCATGAAACGAGAGCGCAAAGGGCGAAAAAATAAACGCCTTTAATTTATAGCAGAATTTCCAAAACCAGACTCCGCCTAAAAGTTCAAAAGGTGCGATTAGATACGCGCTCATCGACATCTCTGCTCGGACGGCGCGATGGCGAGTCCCATCCTGGTCTTGCACCCCCAGGTCGCCGGCGACCTACACACGGCTCAGACTATTCGAATACACTCTAGCCCACGCCAGCTACCACCCCTGTGCATAGAAGAGGCTCGACATGAACCCTGAACGACCAGCAACCTCCAAAGCTCGAGGTATCTGCAAATATTACCTGACTCCCCGGGGGTGCTTTACTGGAAAGAATTGCAAGTTCCTTCATGGCGAGCAGGAGAGCTTGACCCCCTATGACAAGAACAAGACTTGTCGTTTCTATGTCGCAGGGTTCTGTAAACGCGGGGCAGGTTGTTGGTTTGTCCATGCGCTGCCGGAAGCGTCAGGCTCTGGAGAGCGATCCCCTCCTGTGAAGCCCGAAGCAGAGGCGGGGGATGATGATGTTTGCTGCATCTGCTATGAAAAGCCTGTGACATATGGCCTTCTTGGTGAGCATTTGCGCGTCGTGTTACCAATCGCGTCGCTGAGTGCACTTGCTTCCAGGCGGTTGCAGCCACATGTTCTGTCTTGAGGTATGTGTACACGTCGGCACGTGTGATACCGACTAACTGCTATTTATGCAGTGTATCAAAGGCTGGAGAGAGCGCAAGGGCAAATCTGAGGGTGTCATATGTTCCGGCGTGATCAAGATGTGCCCATTATGTCGCGCCGCCTCGAAGTTCGTGACGCCGTCTAGCGTCTTCTATACCCAGAATGATCCTCGCAAGACCGCTCTCGTAGAACAGTACAAGTCCAGTATGGCGCGTGTTCCGTGCAGGTAAGTCTGGGACTTGATCAACGCCGAATCGCCGTGCAATAGGCTGACTATGGGTTAAGGTTCTTCGAGCGGTCGCTTCCCAATAATCGATACTGTCCATTTGGGAATGATTGCTTCTATCAACATTGTAATGAAGACGGGACGCCCTACGACTTCCAGAAAGGAGTCGAATACTACATGAGGGTACGTCCATCTTTACACCACAACGGCTGAACTTGCGATGCCCATCATTTTGTAGCAGCGGAAAAGATATCTAGACGCGAACGGCGCACCGCTGGGGCGACTGCAAGCAACAACATCTCTTCTGCAAAGTTTACGACACGAGCTCGACAGAATTCAGACCAGCTTGGAAAGCATACCAGGGATTGATAGCATTCCCGACGGCGCTCTGGATGATGCCGAGGATATCCTCACCGAGGCCGACCTTCGCTTGAGTGACGATAGGTTGCTACCTGTCCCTCCATCTATCCGCACAACGTTGGTGAGTGATCATGCTCCGTTGCACATACGTGTCTGATTATGGCAGAGGGAGCTGATTGCTGCTTTGCGCCCCCAACCATAGGCTGAGAGCGTCATGTTCAGCACCGCGGCGAGCGAAGATTTGTCATCGACGGCGCAGGAACCTTTGTATCAGGGTGATCATCCGACTTCCCAAGATGAGTCGCTTAACAGTCTCGCCGCCACAGTGCGGACAATAGTAGAAGAAGTCAACTACTTGATGGATGACACCGAGCGGCTCACATCGCCGAGCTCTCAGCCGTCTCCGACAGAAGAGTTGTACGAGTTGCTTCCTCGGTCGGAAGACGTCCGCCCGATATTCGATCTAACGGCGACCACCGCCGAGGAGGAGGTAGTGCTCGACTATGGCGTGGAAGAACCCCATCCTCCTCTTGACCACAGCATAGACCAAGGGCCACAACCGGCTACTATTGTTGAAGTGCCAGCATCCGGGGAAGACGCCTCAGCATCCGCGCCGACGCCAACACCCGAGCAGGAGCCCCTCGTAGCGGGGCCGCTAGCTTCGATGCAGGACCCTTTGAGCGAGGCGACGCCTGCAGCGGCGCCGGAAGTTGTGTATGACAGCGACCCACCATTCAGAACGGATGGGCGCGGGCGTGTCGTGTGGAGTAGTGCTACCGTAAGCACGCGAGGCCGCAAACATACTTCCATTCCAAGTGGCATGGTCGCAGCGTCTCTACCTCCGCACCGCGACGTGCCTCGAGATATCGCGCCATCCGCCGATCACGTCGCCAGCCGCTCACTGGAAGGCAGAGTCGTGTAGACTGCGAGGACATCACAGATGCTACTTTCCTGCCACCGTCTTCTACCTGATGTGCAATGGAAGTGGCTGTACCTGTCTAACGTGTGTGATGCTACGAAAAACTACATCTGACTTGAGAGTGGTTCCGCCGGCTGCTGCATCTGCTTCGTCTGGAGGGCCGGAAGCTGACTGAAAGACCGGAACTACCGAGTACCGAGGAACGGTTACTCAAGGGGATGTTTACGGACCGCAAGTTCGGTGTTCAAGCTGTGTCGGTTGCCCGCCTCGATCGTTAGAGTTTAGATCTGTAATCTGTTCTCCACCGAAAAGCACCGAACGCGTTCGTGGGCGACTTTAGTTGTCACCGATCAAAGTCGGCACGTTTCAATGTTACCGTCGGCGGCGGCGGAAGGAAAGAAGACGCTTGCCATAGGTGCCAGACAGTTTGGCGGCGTCGGGATGGCGGGCAATGAGAGGCAAGGCGTGAATGCATGATGGGTCGCGGCGGCTCCTGCAATTAATTCTTGATTTCTTCACAACGCGGCGGTTAGCACTGCAAGTTGGTCGCGCTCAGAACATCGGGACTGCGTATATACATCCACAGATTGCCCTGTGGTCGTTCCGTTGCAATGCGGAGTGACCAAAGCGGCGGACATAACGTACGTAACTCGTGACAGCTGCGCGAAGGGTCTAGATAGATGCATAACCGTTTCTTACCTTTCGGCGCCATCCAACGAGCTTACACGCGTATGCAACGAGGACTCGAGTGATACTTGGCGTCCCTGAGAGTGGCAGTGATTTACGAACGACACCGAGGGTGCCCTGGGCCGTCGTCGTTGTGAGCGAGGATCCGGCGGTGGGTCCGATTTCCCGGGAACCTCGGAGCTGCCTAATGAGGGATTATTAGGCGTCCAGGTAAATTAACTGGACGACCGCGCTTTGTCGCGAGACGCGCTCTTACGTGGCCAGCCAGTCGTAAGTTTCTCGGTAAGTGGTCAATGTTGTCGCGGCTGTGCCGGGTACACGCGGGGCACGGGGCTAACCATGGCCGTGATGCCACATACAGGCACAACTAGATATGGTGTGCCAGAAAACCTCGCATGATGTCTTCGCATGGACTCTGACGATGCCAGATATCGCGACGTCTCGCTCGCTGTACGAGGTCTCATTGACGGTGGAAAAAGAGCTCATGTAGATGACAAAGCGGCGGCCGACTCGCTTTCCTTCAATGCAATCGTGATTCACGTTCGACGTGCCTTTGCAGAGCATGTGTATGCCGAGTCGGGAGTTGGGATATAGTCCGACTCGGTTAGCATCGTTGTATATACCAGCGGCCACACGCGAGAGGGAAGCTTCCTTACCGTCTCCCCCACTGCCGTCTCAATGTCCAACGCGCCGACTGGAGCACCACGCTCACGAACTTGTTCGCAGCCTCGCGTTTCAGATCAGCTTGATCTGGACGCCGGCCCTAGATTCAATCTCTAGCCGCCACTCTATTTGTGGTAACCACTGCTTAGATGACACCGCAGGCGTTTTGCTACAGGGGGCGCCACGGCTACTTGGTGGCCGGGTGCTAACCTTCTGAACCCGGCCAATAGCAGATCCCTCTGATAGGAACGAATGGCCGACATGTCCCTGTAACTCAGTTGGACACGACGACGGCGCTGGACAGCCATATTCGCAATAAAGAGCGTTCTCTGGACAAGTGCCATTCAGTTGCCGCGGTAAAACCTTGGCCGTCGGCAGTCGTCGAGCAGATCCGATTTCTAGCGAAACGATTCGAAGTGCACATTGTGACATTGCTGCGCTTGCCCTGCGCTCACCTCTCAGATCATATAAGTACTCCTAATCGTTTGGGTCTGGCCGCCCTCCATACACTTTCGTCATCCCTGTCTACCATGTCTACCGAGAGTATCGACAGCCAACCACAGTCCTCGAGCAGCCCGAACGCCGGAACGAGCAGCCTCAGCCGATCGCCGAGCCAGCAACGAGCCTCGCTACCTCGCGAGCGTAAGGGCGGTCTGTCGTGTGCAGAATGCCGAAGGTAGTCTATTCATGTGCTTGGAGCCATGCTTTGCTGACTGATGCAAAAATTTAAGATCTAAATTGAGATGTGACCGGTACGTTTACTTTACTTTGTTTGATTCGATACGGCGTACTTATGCCGTGTCAAGCAACGTGCCGTGTCAAGCTTGCGTCCGGCGAGGGTGTGCAAAGCTCTGCCCTAACGGTCCGTCTTTACTTAGTAGCAGCCTACAATAGCCAAATGACGCAGCCTTTAGGCACAATGGCCGCGACAAAAGGCAATAAGTGAGCATGCTCCGGCGCTGCCTCTATTTTTGCCAAGAATTTCTCACGTGTCCGCGCAGAGCCCTGCAGTCGCATGCGCAGAAACTTGGCGAGCAGGTTACTAATATGTCGGCAAAAATAAAGGAACTCGAGTCTGCCCTTGCCACTGCTCACCTGCAGATCCAAACGCAGTCTGACCCGCCAGAAGATGCGGCGGCGAAGAAGGGATGCACCGGTTCTAGACGCCGGTCATACGGCGTAGGAGCAGGCTCCCTCGCTATCAATAGTGAAGGGCTCGCAAGATACTATGGGGACACATCCGAATCAGAGGTGAGCCGCTGCCCAGCCCCGGTGCGCAGTTGCTCCCGGTCTCTGACACTTACGACCCACAGTACTTCTTTGGTCTGCTACCGGTACGGATGATCCCCTGCTTTTTCCGTATTTCAGTCACAAATCTATTGATCATCTCAGAACGGTGGCGGGTACACTACTTACTATGAGCCTGACCTCCAGGAGCTGAATCTTTCTCCGGAAATCATTTTATTGTACAACGCATACCCATTTGGGTTGCGCAGCCGGCTCTACACCAAGAATATCTTCATCTCTTATCTTCCCCGTCGAGAGGAGGCCATGCAGACAATAGAGATATTCTATGATAGGTTTGGCTTTCTGTAAGTCTTCTAAATTTCTCGCCGCATGTTGCCGTTCACATCGGGCATCTAGTCACAATCCTGTGTCATACGAAGACTGCATGGAGGATCTCATAGGGAGTATCTACGGATCCTCGAATGTGCCCTCAGTAGAACACGTCCATCCGCACAAACTCGCCGTCTTCCTCGGAATACTCGCCATCGGGCACCAGCGCAGCGTCGACTTTGAGACGTCTCAAGGTCTGAATCTCAATGCGGAGCGATATTACGTATTATCGTGTGCTGCACTATGCTTGACACCCATTATGGCCGAGGCGATGTGTGCCACCGTCCAAGCGCTGTTCCTGGTTGACCGATATGTCTGGTCTAGCACCCGGCGGGCATGTGAGGAACTATGGCTGCTGATCGGTGTCATGGCGAGAGTGGCGCTAAGGGTAAGCTAAGTCGCATTGGTTATTGCCTTGTGCCGTTTCTCACCTGAAAGTCCGCCCCAGATCGGACTACGTGAGTAACTTCTTGACGCTGCTTCTTGCTCGTTCAGCATCCTCATGCAACACCGCAGACCGTGATGGTGCACAATTTAACCTGGATGCGGCCGAGTTGCGGCGACGTAGGCTGATTTTCTGGGAACTCTATCGACTGGATGCCTGGATGGTAATTAACTCCTGCACTGCTACACATCAATTTCTGACTTGAAGTCCTCACCAGAGCTTCGTAACTGGGCGGGCACCAGCTATCAACCTATCAGACACGGACACTAAGTTTCCGGAGTATGATGGTGACCCTAATCTGATGTCGTGTAAGACACCGAAGTCTCTTTTTCCCAGTAAAAAGGTATACTCACAACATGTTCACCACGCTTGCAGACCCATACTGGAAATACAGGCACGCCGCCGCGTGTCTATGGCCGACGATCAAACTAGCGGCCGCCGAGGTTGCTTCTTACGAAGATATAATGGCTCTCGACCGCAAGATCCGCACCTTTCCTGTGCCTACGCATCTGCAAGCGTCTCTTCAGGGCTCGACAATTTGGCAGTGGTCCACTGACGCGGGGCAAGCCATCCAACAATATTGCATCGTAGCAGATAAGGAGCTTAGTAAGCGGAAGTTCTTTCTACCGACGTTCAATTGCTTACGGAAACATAGACCTACTATTCCTGCACCGGAACTACGTGGCCGTTGCACTGCATTCAGGCGACCCTCTTGCGCACAAATTTGGCGGCTCAGTTCTAGCAGTCTATCGATGTGCCACACGCATGTGCTTTGCGCTTCGTGACCTCTACAAGCTCCACCCCAGAACCATCAGCGGGATGTGGCATTTCTGGTCCGGAATATTTTCTGCTTGTGTGAGTATTGGTCATTAGGACACATCCATGATGAAAGCCGTTGATATATCTGGCCGATGCAGATCGTACTGGCCGCGATACCCATCGTAGCGCCGAGCTGCGCCTTGGCACAGAACGCGTTGACGAACTTCAAAGCGGCGCGCCGGCTATTTATTGAGGGTGCTGCATCCTGCCATAACCCAAATACAGTTGTACGTCCTCTCTCGCTTATATGTCATCAATTGGTGAAACATTTGGCTGTCTTCACAGGAGATCTTACAGAAACTGGAGCGTCGTGCTGAGAATAACCTCATGGCTTATTGGAGCGACCCGCTTAAGTACCGGTGTATACCTGCGCTGCCAGGCGAGATCGACGAGCTCAGGCTACTCGGCGGTCAGGAGATCGTGATCCAGCAGGCGGCGCGTTCTCTTTCACGCTCCCCGGCTCCTCTGTCTTCGCAGGTGTCGCATATGCGGGCCCAGCCACATCACGCGCAGCCACACGGCAACATGTCAGGCGCGTTCAACGATGCCGCAGGAACTTCCGCTTCGTCACCGTTGATGCCCGTGCAGTCATTCGACGTAGGCCTCGACGAGTTTGACTTCACCGACCTCGAAGGCGCCTTTTTGTCTTCGACTATCCCTTCGTACGAGCAGATCATGCAAACGACTTCGGCAGGGCCGTATCCAGGCTCCTCGATGCGCACGCATGATTTTAGTCCTGATCCGAGTCGCGGCTTCCATCCCGCCAATTTTCCTCAGAACAGCGGCTCAGGGCGCCCTGAACACGCGGAATATCCTCCGCGGGGACAGCAGCATATGAGCGGGCTTGGCAGCGCTGATTTTGACTGTGGTCCGGATGTCTGGAGCTCTTTTGTCGGTGACTTGACCGGCAGCAGCCAGTGCTCACCGTCTCAATATGGCATTTGAGGCTGTTAATTTATTGGGGCACGTGTACACACTGTATCATAGTCATGTTATGGACTTCTCGTCTCAAATGTATACGAAGTGAGACATTCTACTTGCTCGTGGATCGTTGTGGCACCTTGTGTGTTGGACACGGGCCCGTCATAGACCGTGCAGCACCCTGAAAAGGCAATCTGGAGATAAGATCAACAGCCCGCATCACGATGACTAACCGACTCTCAAGACCAGACTCTTCTGACTTGCGCTCTCATCTCTCTCTTGCCAGCACTCGTGTGGCCTGCGTGTTCTCGTTTTTTGCCCTTTGGCTGCACAGCGAATAGACATGATTGCAGTTCAGCAACCCGTGCCTCTTCCGGATGCCCTTCAGGTCCCTTCCAATGCCCCAGAACACTGTCCGGTATGTCTGCAGCATGCTTTGAGAACTGGAATTGTAGCCACTAACATCTTTTAAGGGCACTCAATCAGAGCTAGCAGGGAAAGCTGATGCCTGTGCTGGATGCCCCAACCAAGATGTCTGCGCTTCTGGAGCTACTCGCGCACCTGATCCGGCAGTGCCACTAGTCCGCGAGCGGATGGCGACGGTGAAGCACAAGATCTTGGTTCTCTCTGGAAAGGGTGGTGTAGGAAAGTCGACATTCACTGCGCAGCTGGGATGGGCATTTGCGGCAGACGAAGACGCTCAGGTATGTGCCCCGCCGATTTACCACACGACGAGCCTAACCTCGCTCACAGACGGGGATTATGGATGTGGACATTTGTGGACCCTCGATACCTACTATCCTCGGTATCGCATCTGAACAGGTACATTCGTCGTCGTCCGGCTGGTCACCAGTATATGTTCAAGATAACCTAGGCGTCATGTCCGTCGGCTTCATGCTTCCATCCTCCAAGGATGCTGTCATGTGGAGAGGTCCGAAGAAGAACGGCTTGATCTCGCAGTTCCTCAAGGATGTCGACTGGGGCAACCTCGATTACCTGATAGTCGACACCCCGCCTGGCACGTCAGACGAGCACTTAAGCATCGTGTCATACCTGAAGGAGAGCGGCATCGACGGCGCGGTGCTCATCACGACCCCTCAAGAAGTCGCCCTGCAGGACGTGCGGCGCGAAATCGATTTCTGCCGCAAGGTTGGCATCCGGGTGCTCGGTCTTGTGGAGAACATGTCCGGCTTCGTCTGTCCTAACTGCAAGAACGAGTCGCAGATCTTCAAGCCCAGCACGGGTGGCGGCCGCCGACTGGCAGAAGACATGAAAGTGCCCTTCTTGGGAGCAGTACCGTTGGATCCACGCATAGGCAAAAGTGCAGACTATGGAATCAGCTTCCTCGATGAATACCCCGATAGCCCTGCTACAACCGCATACCTCGATATCATCGACAGTGAGTCTTCCTACATCATCATAATTCAACATATATCCTCTAATGCGCGCCTGCAGAGATCAAAGAGCAATTGGAGAACTAGCTCGTGCACATACTTCATTTGTTGCATCATCAGGAATCATGCGTGTATCCATAGTACATTTGTTGCATTATCTACACCTTGGAATATAAATACAGGGTCCATCTGATTTCGTTCTAGGGTAGTCTATTGTGTCGTGTTCTAGATTTGCAAGTTGTTGTCCCGCAACCCCACAAAGAAGGCTACGAACCTCATAGCGTGAACCGCCGCTCCTTGTCGTTCTCCTCTGGACTCGGGCTCTCTGTGCTCTCCGTGCCTCTGATCTCCCGCGGCACCTCCGACCGGACCGCCTCGTCGCCCGTCCGCTGGTCCTGCACGATGTACTTGCCGATCGGGTTCACGTCCGCGAGCCCACCCGCCTTGCCCTCCGCTGTCTCGTACACCGAGAGCGTCGATAACGTGCGCAACAACCGGCGTACCTCCGCGGGGCCTACGACATCGGATTGGCCACCCATGGCGTACATCGACGCCGTGCGATGCCGAGCCGGTACAACGTACTCGCCTGTAGACGGAAACGCAACAGTACTCTTGCCCAGTAGTTGCTGCTGCTGCATGTCGTCTCCGGCAGGTGGCTGGCCCACTGGCGGGGTAGTGGCCTGCTTAATTGAGTACGTCGAGCTCGTACGGGAAGGGTGCCCGAAGATCGAGCGGCGCGAGTATTTGATTACGGGGTCGCTCGTGCCAGGGAACGCGACGCTGCCCTCTGGTATACTCGGGTGCATCGTGCCTGGCTCCATGCTCGCCTTGCGCGAGACATTCGGTCTCCCAATGGAATCAGAGGAATGCACACGAGCGAGCTGACCGTGGGTGAGCATAGGTGAGTCTGCCGAGTCTGTCGCCTCGATATCCTCGTCGATGAGATGTATCCGGCTGCCTTCTGTCGTTTCGTAAAGATTCCGCACTTCTCTTCGGCACGAGTACACCTCGTGTACGAGTGCATCTCGGTACTGCTCTAGTGTCTCGAGCTCTTCGATGGCGCACCACCTATCGAACTTTCGTTGACAAGTCGGCTCATCGTCCTCGTCGTGGTACGTCGCGAGCCATGGGTGCGCTAGTGCTTCTGCTGCATTTGGCCGATCCACTGGGTCGAATGCTATGAGACGACCCAGGAAGTCTAGAGCTGGAGATGAGATATAGTCAGTGTTGCATGCAGGAAGATTGCACACCCTTACCCTCAGGGTCTGCGGTTGGCAGAATTTTTGTAAGAGGTTGTGGCTTCTTGTATGGCAGCGATCGTACGTATGCTCGAGCCTGCAAGATATGAGCAGACAGCCAGAAGGAGCATAAGTTTTCCCACCTTTTCGCTCCCAATTCTCTGCATCACTTTATCTATAGGAGAGCCTACGAAAAGCTAAGCATGACAGCGACATATCAATACTTCCATAGTGACTCACCGAGAACGTCCAGTATTTTGTTCAGTTGGTCGACTGCAGAGCATGCCATTGTTAATTCACGTATGCACTAACAAGACGCTAGAACGAATAGCTAACCATAGCTAGGTCGTGGTTAGATCAGGCACGTTATCAAGGAAGCCGTACGCTATGCTCACTCCTTTCCCTTGAATAACGGCTTGCCGAGTATGAGCTCCGCCACTATGCATCCTGTTGCCCAAATATCGACTGAACACTGATGAGTGACCAGGAGATGATCCATGATGATAGAGATTACCTGCCGTGTCATATCGCCGATATGCGAGCATGATTTCAGGGGCACGGTACCATCGTGTTGCAACATACTCTGTCATCATCGTCGCAGTTTCGTCATTCGCGGCATTGAAACCTCGGCTCAAACCAAAGTCGCAAATCTTCAGCTCGCAATCGGCATTGACAAGCAGGTTACCGGGTTTTAGATCACGGTGAACTACTGAGGCCGAGTGAATATACTTCAAGCCTACAGCTATCTGTCAGTAGCTAATGTGCATGAGGGTCCTGAAAACGCACCTCGAAGAATTTGGTAAACAAAGTATTGTACGTGCTCGACCGTCAGGGACTGTCCAGACTTGATAATCTGATGTAAATCCGCTACATGTCTATCAGTTATACAGAGTACAGCAGCTCGAGTTGTAACGTGCCTTCCATAGGCTTGAGCGCGCTTATCGATCAGTATTGTGCGAATGCTGCGATGTTGATATTCTCACCTCCATGAAGATATAACTGGTGCCCATTCAATACTGTGATACAATCAAAATACGGATGTGCTCACATCTCATCGTGGTTCGGAGAAATGTCTACGTCGATTAGACCAGTGATATTCTCGTGCGAAAAGTGCCTCAATAGAGTGAGTTCGCGGAGGGCCCGTTTGGCTAGCTGGATCTTCTGCGTCACCCGGTTCACCATCTTAATAGCAACCGGTTCGCCCGATACTTCATCCACAGCCGAGCTTCGTACAAGCTTGAGACCCCAGAAGATATCACACGGCTGTGAACTCACATAACATAGCCATATGCACCGCTCCCCATCTCGCGGATGAGTTTCCATCGTCTCTCAACGTGAAATACTTTCCCAAACGATGACATCAACGAATGGTAGCCCCTGTAAAACCGAACAGCGTTCTAACCATGTAAGGGAGCGCAGTGCACTGGTAAACATACTGTCGTTCTGCTATCCCCCCCGCCTGATCTGCATTCTCACGCGACGGGCCAGAGTGTCGTGTGCGCGAACGACCACGTCTACCACCAGAAGAGCCCGGCGAGGGCAGAGACGAGGATGACTTATTACGACGTGTTGCCCCATCCTTCGCTTCCTGCTTCTCCGGTGTTCCCGCCGCTGATGACACACCAGCCTTGGCGGTCTTGTCTGCTGGGCCGGTTTCTGAGATGTCCGTCGACTGGGCCATCGCTGACTGCTAGCGAGAAATGGAGGTCAAGGTTCCAGCCACAGCGGGTTACGTGCGGAAGTGAGACCCGCGATTGGCCGCGTCGGGCGGAGTGTAGGCGGCCTGAGACTTTTGCAGGCAGGGTAGCTGATAGAGATGATGTCGAGAGACACGTAACAGGAGAGGTACGAGGAGATAGCGTCCCCGCTTAGATTAAGGTGGTAGAAGGGCGGAATGCATAACGCTGGTATAATCTGATTAGATAACCGGCCTCAGAAGTGCGATCCGAGCTGCCAGACACTGAATGCATACGAAATACTCGCAAAAATATGTGCGGTAATGTTAGAGCTTTTTTTAACAGAGGATTTGAAGCCTCAGAGTGAACGAAGTCACCGGCGATATTACACCTTCAAGCTAGCCAGCACGGCAAATATGTCGCGTAAAGTGACTCAACGACACTCAACAATGTCCAGAGAAGCAATCCGTATCGTTCCTAAATTCGGAGCCCCATGACGCTACAAATGCCCGTATGAACCAGCCGATAGGCAGTACTGTGACACATACGCTAACGCATGTTCGTACAGTAGACAAACGAATAAGCTACTATTGCAACATGGTAACATGCGTCGACAATGTGATATAAAATATGACAGAAGAAACAAGACAGAGAGAAGAGATATAGGGAGCGATAGAGAACGAGTATAACTATCGTAGCGTCCGCAAAGCCTCCCTCACCGTACTCCTCGAGTCACCGAGCAATCCCAGCAGCTGCCATCTGTAGTCTCTCGTTTCGCGATCTTTCAGCGGCAGATCGTCATCGTACCCATCATTGTCTCCCACAGCCAGTCGCATCGCTGCAGCAGATCTATTCGGGAGCACAGCGGGCGAGATGGTGAAGAGCGTTTCGAAGGAGGCAGCAGAGAGGTGACTGGTAGTGGACCTTGCAGAGGCTTTGATAGATGTAATGGCGTGAGAGGTAGAAGTCAGAGAGAGAGCTTGTGTGATAAGCTGCTTAAGCTTTGCCTGCAGAGATATGTCAGAACTGCTCTTTTTGCGCAGCGATACCACGAGCGCACCTCAAAGGCGTACATCATGAGGGAAGCAACCGTTCTTGGCGGCGGGCCAAGATTATGCTGAGCTGAAATCAAATTGATACGCTCTGCTATATGCTGCAACGTTGGTGCCCTGGTGACCGACGCTAGATGCAATGGCATGCGGCTCCCCGCAGGCTCTAAGGTTTTGTCGCGTCAAAATACACTTTTCTAGTAAAGCCAAATGGAATATACCTCCACGTTCGAGAAGAAGAACGACACCTCTGTCAGCAGCAATCTCGTCTTTCTCTCTTCTCGGGCTGCGTTCTGTACTCAAAGCCAAGGCATCTAAACTCCGCAGGCGGTCTCGTTCGCGCTTGCCCATGCCAATGGTCCATCGCTTGAGTCTCGTCGACCTCAGGGTTTCAGACTCATCATCATCCTCGCCTTGGTATGGTAGCGTTCTGCGACGCTTTCGTGACGGCGGCTTTGGTGCGTCTGGTGGTGGTGTGGGAGGCGCAAGGTGTGCGGAGGGGTCCAGTAGTGAGACGATAAACGAGTTATGTAGTTGCACTACGGAGACGTTTAAGCCACGCCTGGGTTCTGGTGAGACGAGATATGCTTACAAAGTGGTATATTGTCCTTCCCGAGGCATTCCTTGATTTGTTCATCAAGCTCTTCTTGGGATATTTGAGCACTAAAGTACTGCTGCAGAATCTTGTAGTAGGTGTCGGCCTTCGGTCCCAGTGCCTGGCCAATTTGCGCCTTGATAATGGTCGTTGACGACAGCGACATTACGCATCCAACAGAATATATACAGTCCCGCTGCAAGTGGTATCCTAGGGTATATGGGCCGCAGAGGTGGAGGTTTGGACTTAGGTACGGGACCAAGTTCAGCGGCACATGTCAGTGCGCGTCATTCCGCAGACGCTCGCGGTACGCTTGTTTCCTACGTTCATAATCCTCGCATAAGCTCGTCCTACGTTCTGCATCCACCATGGCCACACCGTACCAAGACACAGCGAGCTCACAACAAGGCACACCCTACACCTATGCGCCGCCTGTACCGGGCCAGTCGCCGCAGGTAGGCACTCCGGACCCGTCGCAGTATGCGAGCACGTCGGCACAGTCGCAGATGGCTGCTACGCCAACGCAATACCAAACGCAATATACCCCTGCAGCCCCCCAACCGATTACGCAGACACAGCAGACTCAACAGCAAACTGCTCCCGCACCTGGGCCATCAAGGCGGCCGGATGAGGAGGCGAAGAAGGACCGAACGCTGGCGGAATTTCTGTTGATGCTGGATGACTACGAGCCCTTGGTGAATCCTCATGATAGCGTGGCCAGGTTTATGGACTTATAGGGACGCCACAATAGATCCCGAACGAAGTGACAGACTACTATCTGCAGCGGGCAGGCTTCGAATGCGAAGACGTCCGACTGTAAGTCCTTCTACCCGTGCAAAGCCATCCACTGATAAGACTGCTACTAGAAAGCGCCTGTTGTCTCTCGCAGCGCAGAAGTTTGTTTCTGACATTGCTGCAGATGCATACCAGCATGCTCGCATACGGACAAACGCTACTGGAGGACGCTCACGAGCAGCACAATCGGGCCCACAAGCGGCGCGGGTGCGTCTAGCCTTTCTAAACTTCTATGACCTCCTGACTGACCTCACCACATAGGACAAGACGAAAACGACGCTCATGATGGAAGATCTGAGCTCTGCTCTCGCGGAGTATGGCATCACCTCGCGCAAGTCAGAGTTTTACATGTAGTCTTCAAATCCGGAGGCCAGCTTGGCGAGCTTCTTGTAATGCTAGAATCACCGCGGATATTCGTTGTCATTCATATTGTGCTCCAGGCAATACTATGTTTCTTTTTGTATTAGTCTGCACCCAACGCAAAGCTCTAGTCTAGTCAATAATCAGGCCATGTAGGATGTCGGTGCAAACCATGTGAGATGCGACAGGATGGGACATGACTAGCCTATCATTAAACCCCGTGGAGAACATAATAGGATATGATCATGAAAACATAGCATGTCAACAACGAAGCACAAAGCAGAAGAAGTCTACGGCGTCTGCCACACACTAGTCGGTGCGTATTGCGGCTTCTGCAAACCAATAGTGAATAAGCTGCTCGGAGCCGATATCAGATAAAGCACGCACTGAAGAACTCGTATGAGAGCCAACACAGGGCGTTGCTGGGCATGAACGTGAGCACACGTGGCGTAAGTCCCCGTGCGAAGCCCTTGAGCCCGTCGCGCTCCCAGATGATCCGGAACGCGTCCTTCATGCCGCTCGCGTACCTGATCTCGGTATCCGTGCTCGTCCCGCGTGTCTGGAGTAGCGTCTTCGCAACGTCGAGCGGTGTCGTGACGGCGCCCGCGACGGCACCCGCGAGGCCGCCGGAGACGATATGTGTCACAGGCGAGTACACGCCCGACGGGTTCAGGAACGACTTGATCTGCTCGTACACGGTGAATTGCACGGCCGTGAAGGGCACTGTCATCGTCAGTGTTGTCGGGTAAGAGACGTAGAAGGCTGATAGACCCTCTGTTCGGTATACTGTCTGTGCACAGGTGAAAGCAGAGCGAAATTGAGACTCGTGGACTTGCATTCGTTGCTTGATGACTGCGCGAGGAGTTAGCTTCTGCAGTTCGGAAATGCGTCACGCTTACCATCGAAAGGATTCATAAGAGCATCACTTGCGACCGTTGCACAGGCACCAGCCAGGGCTACACAACCCGAGTTAGCCCTGCGCTTTCATAGGGGTCAGATTCGCACTCACAAGTCGCTATCCACTGATTCTGGCTGCCTTGCACATTTCCACCCATCATCTCCTTTACGGCCTCGTACGCGCCGAAATGCACGGCGTGTGCGGGCCCGGCACCCATGATAACGGAGCTAACACCACGCCATAATGCCCGCATACCCTCCGTGGATGATATCCGCGTGAAGGCGTTCCCGATGCCCGTGTACACCGCCGCGGGAGAGGTCGCGAAGACTTGCATTCGCGTCTAGATGGCTCTGTTCTGCGGATGCATGGATTCTAAAAGTAGGAAGGACGCACTTTAATGCTATCCACAGGGAACATAACTGCGTGTTCTGTTATTCCTGCCTATGGCTGATTAGCACTTTCTTTCTCGTCGAGTCCTCCACCAAGTCCTGCATCTCGTAGATATAAAGCTGATCTTGGTGCAGCGAATTTGTTCCAAGGTACTCGTTATGCCGCGCAAGGGGCAGACCACCAATCTGACTAGCTCTGCGCCTGTGGATATGTCTGCATCTCCTCCTTTATTCTTATGGTGTCCTTTCTGCGTCTCGCACCGCTTCCGCATGCACCCACCGGGAAGACAGACTCACCAAAGCACCGGCCATCATGTTCACCTACATTCCGCAGATAGAGTGAGCATCCAACGCGGAGTGCAAGAACCCTGGACTCACGCCAAGGCCTGCGTTCGGCGGGAGACCTTCGTACTCGATCTCCCCCACACCGTCCATCACCTCCATCGGCGCGGTCGCTGCTGCTGCCACAACGGATGACATCTGGACGGTATTCCACGGGCGAGGCTCTGCCGGCTTGTGACGGACAGAGGCAAACGCAGGATGCGCGGGTCTGGGTTGAAGGGCGGGACGAAAACACTGAAATTGCAACCGCGTCGGCGATAGTCGCTACGAGCTCCCGTAGTGCAGCGGGTGCGGCTGCGGATCGAGAACATTTCGCGCTCGTCAGCGCAATTCGTGCGGAGACACCACGAACCGCGATGCTGCCGGAGATGTGTACTTACCTCTGGGACGATGCCGGGGCTCTGCTCCTGAACGGATGTGAGAGCGTGCGGGTGCGCGAGCACGCGGGTGGGGGTGGGTGGGGGTTGAGGAGGAGAGGAATGGAAAGGAGGTCCGGGGAACTTTACACGAGTAGGTAAGGGTGCCGTATAATCACACGGGTGAGCAGGCACCGCACACTGGTTCGGATCGCCTCTGCGAACGTTCACACCGTGGTTAAGAACAGCACGAGGGACATTCAGCTTTATTTTTCAGGTGCGTGCGGCAGATGACTTGGGCACGACGGGGCGTGACCAGAGCCAATCATGAGTCAAGCCCGATCGCCACAAGGGGTTTCAGGCATAATACATCTCGGAAAACGCAAATATGAACTTCATTCTATACAGCAGCTTTTATAACACGTCCTAGGAATCGTCGCGAGTGCCAGGGGCTTAAACGTGAGCCTTTTGTCGTGCGGCGAGCCGGTCATGCTCGTCAATATCGCTGTGGGAGGCAAACCGGGTCAGCGCACAGCCAATCAGGGCGTGAGACAGCAGCCAATGAGAACCCACGTAGCTTCCCACGGGTAGTCCAGCCTATGGAAACCATGATCAGTACATAATGTGTTACAACGGAAAGCGGTGGGAATGCTCTCACCAGACGTCCTCGACGTTTGAGCCGGCAAAGTATCTGTGGAAGAGCCAGTGTGTCAATACAGCCAAAAGTCAGTTGTACGTGAGACTTACGGCAGATCAGCGGGCAGCGAGCCAAGCTTGTCCTTCAACTTGTTGTGCACAACGAAAACAGCGAACTTGGTACGCTGTGCCTCGCGCTCGGACTCTGGAAGCTCAAGAAGCTCCTTCTCCACGTCCTTCTGGAGCTCAGAAATGGCGTATCTGATAGGCACGCGTCAGATGACAATCAACTACTATAGATAAGGAGCACTAACTGCAGGGTCTTGCGGGAATCATCGACCTCGTCCTACGAATCGATTACTTCGCGATTCACTCGGATCTGAGGCATGTCTCAGACTTACAACAATGAGAGCACGACGACCAAGCAGGATCTTTGCTCCCTCGGGACCCCTGAGAACAAAAAGGATGAGCGTAGCTCGATGCTGGAATTGTTCAAGAAAGAGCTTACAGCCACTGGGTACGGACAACCTCAGCACCAATTTGCTCGGCAGTTGTGCCAGGAAGCTGTTCGTAGAGAGACAAGCCAATCGCAACAATGGGAATGTTCTTCTTCGAGTCAGGGTGCTTCAAAAAGGTGCGCTATAAACCTTCATGTAAGGGCAGGAGCGCAAAGAGGACGGCACATGACGTTACGTACGAGGACACGAGCGGGGAAGAAACCTCTGTCTGCTGGAGTCAAGATTCTGCTACATATATATCAGAAACGAGTGACACTCGCCCTCCACCTGCAGAAAACATTCTAAGTTCGGGGGAAGCCAAGGGTATTTCTCGGGACACTGACCGATGGCAACGAGCGTGTCTGGCTTGAACTCCGCGATCTTGTCCGCAGAGGCTAAGATAAGTTTGTGGATCTCGTTGTAGGTCATATTCAAGTGCTCCGGCTCAGACATGATTGCAGACGATGAAGATGGAAAAGAGAGGAAAAGAATAGGACGATGGAGAAGTCAAAGATAAACGCGAATTGCGCTGATTGGCTCGCGACGCGACTTGCCACTCTCGCGCCCAATCTGAGATCGCCACCAGTGATGCCTCAGCTTTGGTTAACTCTCGTCTGTTCCTCTTCCTCTTCCTCCCCCTCTCCTTCGTCCATGCAGCAAAAATGTCTGAACCCAGCGGAAATACCCCAGGCCCGTCTTACGGCAGCTCTACGCCGAAGGCTGTTCCTAGTCTCGCCAAAAAGCCAGACACTACGCGAGGCGGAAGCACGAAACTGAAATTCATTCCGACGTTACCTGCGAGGAGAGTGAAGGAGTAAGTACGTAGTTCTCTTAGTGTTCTCTCTTTTTGGAATACTCATAGCGAGTCTCTTTTGATAGGGGATCCAAGAAGGTTGGGAGGATGCTCTTGTTTATAGGCCGAATCGACTAACGTTTACTGCGTAGGAAGAAGCCCCCACCGCTTCCACGTCGTCAGAACGCGGAAAGGAACGCGGACGCGGGGGATCAGATGGACGCAGTAGAGGTAGAGGTCGAGGTGGAGAAGGCAAGGGCGGTGCGCCGCCACGACCGCCACCAGTCGAGATGACTGCTAGTGGGCCCTTCGCCATGGGTCCCGCCCTGGCTGGCGCCTCCGCGCGCCGAACAGCTCCGCGCACAAACTTCACACCAGCTGTTCTGCAAGGTTCCGGTGGTACCTCGCGTCTCGGAGCTGGCCTCACACAAACGGAGGCCCCCAGTGTTGGAGGTGCCAAAAGGGAGCAGATGCAGGCGGGCGTGCTAGGCACGGCGGAGAAAGAACAGAAGCTGGAGGAGCGAGAGAACGAGATGTACTCGGATCCGGATGAGGGCGTTGAGATCGTAGACATGGAGAACGTCAGGACGATGGATTGGATGGCGCCGGAGAGCTTGAGCAAGGAGAAAAAAGCGACTAAGAGGAAGAAAGTGAAGGCTGAGGAAATGTGGAAGAAGGGCAAAGGTTCGTGTAGCTCATACCGCATCTCAGCACGTCTAAACGTCGCGTACAGGTGTGGCAAAGGAGGAGGTAGCAAAACCTGAGCCCGAAAGAGTTGACGACGTAAACCTTGCGAACGCGGTCGATCTCAGTGAGAGTGAAGAGGAAGAGGAGATAGAGGATATCATGGATGACTTTGCCTTTAGACATATAGAAACAGTGCGTTTCATTCGTTCCTCCAACCCCGCGCGCTACTCACAACAACATTTCTCTATATCCTTAGGACGACAGTGCGTCGCGAGAGCCTCTGTACTTCTTTCAATTCCCTGCACCCTTCCCAGAGTTTTATGTCCAAGCCTTTAGCGAAGGACAAGGGCAAGGGAGTTGCAAAACCGGAAGACGGAAGCAAGACCGTCACTTTTTCAGATGATACCAAGCCCCCCGCTCCAGATACCCCGCAAGAACAAGCGGCGAACGAGAGTACATCGGAACAGAAAGTTGATGGCGTCATTGGCCAATTGGAAGTTTACGAAAGTGGCACAGTCAAGATGAGGCTGGCGAACGGTATTGTGATGGATGTGAGTCAAAGTTTACGCAACGACGGGGCGTTGTATTGAATATTTATTTGCATAGGTCACTGCTGCCACACAGCCATCGTTTCTACAACATGCTGTCCACCTGGATCCAACAGAAAAACGTCTATGCGTGCTGGGGGAGATCAACCGGCGGTTTGTCGTCTCCCCGGACATCGACACGCTCCTGTCTGCAATGGAATCAGCAGAACGGGATCAGCCCTCAGAGCTTGAAGCTGACGAGCTCATCAGCATGGACACCAAATAGCTGTGTCCCCTCAACGCATATGTTGTCTCATGCTCAGTACGACAATGCACTAAAATACCGTGTAACTCTACAGTCCAGCGATTGTAATATCACACTCACATCGCCGGCGTCGGCGTAGATTCCATATCTTGTAGTTGCGATGCAGGATTTTGCAGCGTCTCAGGTACAGGGCTGCCCTCCGCGCTTTTAGCGGGCGTCGGCGTCGCGCCCTGGCTCTCGCTGCTGTCTTCCGCAAAGATGTCGAGCAGGCCGGCGACGCGGGCTTTGTTTCCGGCCTTCTTCGTGACGTACTCGCGCAGGCCGGCCTTGAGGCTCGGCTGCTTGTCGACGAGCTCGCGGAGCTGCTCCTTTGGCAGCTGCAGCAGCGCGCCGAAGCTTGCGGGCGCGATCAGCTTTGCGCAGCGGATGAAGCCCTCCCAGAGCGGCGCGACGGTCCAGATCTTCTTCGTGATGAGCCGCGTGAGAAGCGTGCTCGAAACAAAGGGGACGAGCGAGCGATATGTCGAGACGGCTTGGATGACCTGAAGTTTCCTGATGTGAGCGCCGCGACGCGAAATCATCTACAAATGCACTCACCGTGCGCATGAACAACGTCGGGAGTACAGGCTCGTCGACAAGCTGGTTCATGACAACGGCTAGGATGTCCGAACGGAAGATATCGGTCATGGAGAAACAGACGCCGATAGCTGAGCGGGTACCGCTTGGTCAGTGCACACGAGGAAACGCGGGCCTGGAGACGCACCCTCGATCGCGGCCTTGAGGCCGATTTCCTTTTCGGATTCGTGGAGAAGGACCATAAGCTCGGCAGGGGTGAGAAGCTCGCTCTGCCGCACGCGCGGCAGGTTCGAGCTGACACTGCCAAAGCCCTGGGGCGGGGCGGTGACGACCGAGCTGAATACAGACTTGACCAGGGTCTTGGGCTCTGGCTTCCCATTGAGGATCGACACGATGCGTGGTAGATGCCGTAAGATGTCCACCTGTACGTGGATGTTTTGCTCAGCGTGAGCACTGGGGTCACATTCAAGGAAACTGCAACCGCGCACCTTGTCCATCTCCGCGATGATTGGTATGAGGAACCGCGCGTCCAGGTCACGCTCGGCGATGAGGCTCTTGACAAGGGCCACTAGCTGTGCGCTAGGTCGGGTAGCCTCCGTGAAGATGGTCAGGACCCGAAGCGCCAGTGACTCTGCGCCTGGTGGGAAGGTTCTCAACAGAGTGAGCAGCTTGCCGTGTGAGGGGCCCAGTGCCCTTATGAGCGGGGTAATGAGCTGCTGTATCGTCTCCTGCACCGTCTCCTCCATCGCACCATAGGCAGCAAACACCCTACAGTTCCGATCAGCAAGACACTCATTCCTGAGACGGAAGCACTAACTCATCCAAGAACTCGGGTACCTTGGTCGACAGAGCGAATAGTAGCTCAAGGTGTTGCAGGATGTGATCGCTTTGGGCAGGAAGCTCCAACTGCTCTGGAAGATACGGTGTCTGGATGACGTCCTCCTGTGGCAGCTGACCGTCCTCCATGTTCTCACCGTCCTCGCCAGTAGCAGCTTGCTCCTCGACCTTATCAACTTTCGGTCTTGACTGCAGCCGTCGAAGGAGCTGCAACGCAAAGTCGCGGATCATGCCAGCCATAGGTTCGGCGTCCGGTATCCACCGCTTGACGGTATTTATCGCAGCTCCTCGGGTTATTTTGTCTATGAGCATGACTAACCTGTGAGTAACCAAGCTACAGAGTGCGATGAACCTTACCTGGATGTGTGGTAAGTTCCAGCAGCATAGTCATTGCTTCCGCTCTCAGCGATGGCCGTTGGGTAATGAACTCTCGAAGGGCAGCAAAACCGACTTGTCTCCTGCAAGAGAGATATGAACGATGACGTAAGACGTACTCACAAAGCCCACTCACCGCTCCGGCTCGACACACATCTCGCGCAATAGGCTCATGATGTCCGACGGTACATGCGGCAGATCCAAAAGGAAATGCGAGAACGTCCGATCCTTGTTGTCCAGATGTGTTTGATATACAGCCACTATCTGGTTCAGCCAGGTTTCGTAGTTCGGTGCCTGGGACAGTGATGTTAGCGGATATTTCTTTCTGTGCGTTAGAAAGACGTACCCAGCTAGGCTCTGCCTGGTTTCGAATCTGGTCGTTGTACCACTCTTCGTTCATCCATGTCGTTGCAAGTCGTATCCTATAAAGCAGCCCCTCAGCTGACTGAGTGATATGTCTGGGGTACCGGCTCACCTTCCGGAAAAATCTTCCATGATATATTCACACAATATCTGGCGAAGCCTATCTTGATGCGAATAGATGTCGGACGCAAGCGCATCGTCCTCGACAGGCATGTCATCCTCGCTCTTCTCTCGCTCACTCTTGTCGTTCTCGAGCGCAGTCGGGTCGACGACGCGCGTGACAAGTCGCACAAGGAGGAGCATCCACATATCAGCCGCCGCGATGCCCGGGGCCTCGTCGAGCCCAAGGTCCGCAGCCTGCAGGTCCTTCGAGCCCTCCCATATTCGCACCAACGAACCATTGACAAGAGCGGCACGTGCCTCTTCTGGAAGCTCTCTAGGCGGCGGCAGCTTGAAGTCTTCGAGGTCAAGCACCAACTCCATCTCCGGATCCATCACGAGCCCGTCCTGCGTGGCCGCTTCCTGTCCGCCAGAGAGCTCTTGGTTCAGCCTATCCGGTTCATACTCGATCTCCTCCTCGTCAATGTCCATCTTAAGTGGGTCGACTGGTTCCTCCTCCTTCACTGCCGGCGGAGGTGTCCCGGGGGGCGACCGCGACATTGACCGCATCTCGCTCGACCCCCGCACGTCGCGCGGCACAGGCGTAGGCGATTTCGTTTCTGTTACTGGTGCAACCACCGGCGTCGCAGATCTAAGGGCTCGCGGGCCTGTCGGTATTAGCATGCCATTGGCCGTCTGCGGTATTCCCGGCTTAGAAGATGGACCTGCGGTAGGCGGGGGTACGGGGGCAGCGCTTCCTCGGCCTTGGCGGTATGCCTGTACCACGTCAACAAACGTCTGCTCCGGGAATACCTGCAAGTTCGCGACGATGAGGTCTGTGACGAGCGATGCGGGCAGCGTCGTGAAGTCGAAGCTCGACAAAAATGTCGCGGACGCCGCGGCATCGGCGTCCTGTTCGAGCTTGGGACGTTTCGCGTCGGGGGCCTCCGGCGTGGCAGACGTCGACGGACGTTTGCGCTCGGCCTTGTGTTCTTCCGCAGCCTTCATGCGCGTAGCCTGCGCTTGAAGCGCGGATTGTATCTGAGGAGCCCAGGGCTGGCCTTGTGGCGAGCTGATTCGTTTTGAGCCCAACTCATCCGTGCACGGAAATGGGTACGTACCGCATGATATGGTTGAGCAGGATCTTGACGGCCTTCTCCGCACTTTTCACACTCGTCGCCGACAACGCCTGCAGCTTCTCGTTTGGAACCCATGACGTGAGTGTTTGGACAACAAGCTCAACGAACGCGGGCCGCTGTTTCACGAAGCTTGCCCAACTGTTCAAGATAGCAGACAAGATGTCCGGATTCCTGCAGTTGTGTCAGCAAGTCATCTGTGTGCAGACGATGTTGAGACTCACGAGCTTGTGTACAAAATGGTGATGATGCCCTCCAGCAGTTTCGCCCCCTCTGCCTCAAGTGAAGCGGCGGAAATGAATGGGTGATCTGCAGGGAGCATGCTGATGTTCATGTCATCCTTTTTCTGCAACTGTGGCAAGCAAGGCACAAGTTTAGTCGCACGCCACGGCATAGCCAAGGATAACTCACTCTGGGATCGCTGGGGCCCCTGGTCTGGGCTAGGATCACTCGCTGCATGAACTTGACCACAGAGATCTTGACACCAACGGGCACGTGTGGCGACCACACAAAGTCGAGTATCTTCGCTTTCGTCTGTACCAACAGGTCCCATTGCTGTTGCATGTTCCGCTGAGTGCACCTGGACGGAGGTCCCACGCGTATAAGCAAAACAAACTATATATTCAGGACCTTGGCGTGTAGCGTACATTTTGCGGAAGAGTAGGGGGTATATGGTAGCGAAACACTGGATAGTGACCTTTACGGTATTCACGTTCGCGTCGTGAATAAGCCCCGCCAGAGTGTCAAGCGCGTCCGCGGCCACTGTGTGCGCCGGTCAAAGGTCAGCTCTCATAAGGCTTAAGGTGTAACGCACGTTGGGTGCGTGCCTCAGGCGACAGACTCGAGCGGCATATGGCAAAGTGCAGCAGGTCGAGGACCCACCGCTTGAGCAACGAGTCGCCCGCGCCGGACACGGTCTTGACGAGGGTCGTACACAAGATGCGTATCGGGCTCGGGTGTGCTTCAAGGGAGTCACGCAGGGTCGCGAGCAGGTCTGCTTGCTCCTTAGAGTCGGCCGGAGCGGCGAGTGCGGCGGAAAGCTGCTGCAGCGGGTCAACAGGGTTGCTCGGAGTCGCCATTTCCGCTGGCTCGCGTTGGGCCTTTCGCCACAGGGTCCGTTATGAAGGAATGAGAGAGGCTGCTCCCACCAGGTTTTATAGAAATGGTGCACGAGACCACTGGAATTGCTGGCAGGCTTAGACTCGGAGCAGAAGTATAGCGTCACAGAAGAAAGTCCCAGTTGGTACAACAGGCGGGCGTCAGTCAGCGATGGGTGAAACAGGGTCAACAAGCGTGGTAAGTGCGTTTATTGATCGGACGTCTGGCACATAAGCGTGGATAAGCGGCGAGAATTAAAAGGATAAGTAAATGAGGTCATGGCTCCTCGGCGGAGTTTCAATCGAAGCTACATTGGTACAGCGACCATGGTGCGTCCAGTACCCGCAAGCACAGAACACGGCACGATATACTCACAAAATGTGCAAAATATCAGGCTGCACAACAATCTCAGAGCATCCAGACGCTACTAGAAGCGGAGAAGGAGGCGGCCAAGGTCGTGCAGCAGGCGCGCGATTGTACGTCCTCTGATACCCAAAGCCATGACATGACCTCACCCGCCCGCCGCGCAGACAGAGTCAAGAAGCTCAAGGACGCGCGGACACAGGCGCAGAAGGAGATCGACGAGTACCGCAAGTTTAAGGAGGACGAATTCAAGGCCTTCGAGGCTTCGGTGCGTCATTCCGCTCGCGCAGACATGCGGTAGCTCACATCCCCGACGCGCAGCACGCAGGCAACACGCAGCACGTCCAGGCCGCCGTCGACGAAGAGACCGAGGTCAAGAAGGGCGAGATCGCTGAGCAGTACGCACAGAACAAGGATGCCGTGGTCAAGAAGCTGCTCGACCGCGTCACGCTCATTACGCCTGAGCTGCATCGGAACCTCACCAAGGTGGAATAGATACGTTATTGGCACTTTCCGCTATACACACGCGGTAGGCAGTGCGTGACATATCCGCAAGCTTAATATCTCGGGCCAGGAACACGGACTTAATACCAATCTGTACCATTACGCGTCTCGCGGGCTGCCGATCCATTTCGAGGACAAGGCACACTGCCCACGGCAATATGGCCGTTGTCATTGCGACGGCCTCTGGCATCTCCAGCCCACATTGCGTAAGGTGACTCTTCCCCGGCCGGGCAGCCAACTTCCGGAGACGCAACCATCTACGTAAGCACCCGCGGCCTCCGGAGCCGACGGTTCCTCAGCACATGCAGCGGCTGGACGCTTGCCAACGAGCTGTTGGCCTGCGGGCCTTGTGACATGTGGCCCACCAGAGTTCCGTCGGATTCTAGCCGCAACTGGCCCAGCGGGAAATTAATTTTGTCAGACAAGGGCATGGAAGCCGTGGCTCGGGTTCCTAATTGGAGTCGCGGAACCTTGAACTTTGCCGGGCCACCAGAAGCCCGGGGCCCACGCTGTGCGGCGCATGCGCAGCTTCCTCTTAACCGACATATGGACCCTTCGGTTCCGACAGTCGAAGCTGACGTCGTACGACAACAGGACGTAAGATCCAATTGCATCCAAAGCCGAACAGTTTGTACAATAGTGGCACAATGGTGGCACACTAGAAACGCGGAGAGTGCTGTGTAACCTTGACCAAAAAGGATGATTAAAAAGAGAATCACGAACGATAAGCATAAGTGGGGGGAAAAGAAATCAAGACGATCCCGAGCCCGAGCACAACGCACAAGAAACGAGCGTAGAAATACAACTTGTGTGTAGGAGTGGTGCGCGCAGGAAAGAGAGGGCATTTCAGCGACAGCAGCAGCGATGGACAGTAAGTATACGTGAGAGTAGGAGTGGGCGAGTAAGTTAGATCAAACAAGAAAGAAAAAACGGCGAGATGTGCGCATATAGTAAGATAAAATCGCTTAAATCCGCGCCAGGTCATTACCGTCCAGGCGCGGCGCGGGGTGACGCGGCGAATGAGCCGCGTGGCGAGTCGGGTCGCGAGTCAGGTCGCGAGTCACGCCGCAGGGCTCACTGCCCGTCCCGCCGCCAGCCGCTCACGCCAGCGGCGGCGCCGGGTCCGGGGCCGGGGCCGGCAGACGGCTGGCCGAGCGCGTGCGGGCTGTGGAGCATGGGGCCAGCGCCGTTCGGCCCCGAGATCGAGACGGCCTGGGCGAAGGCCTCGGTGGGCGGCCGCCAGTTGTCGAGGAGCCCGCTCGCCTTGAGCGACGGCAGCGACTGCTGCGGCTGCAGCGTCCGCGGGGCCACCGCCTCGGGACGCATCGGGTCACGCACCGCCAGCTGCTCGTAGTGCTGGTGTTGGTGTTGGTGCTGGGACTGGTGCTGGTGCTGGTGCTGGTGCTGGTGCTGGGACTGGGACTGAGACTGAGACTGAGACGGGGACTGGTGATGGGATTGGTGATGGGACTGGTGGGGTTGCTGCTGTGGGTGCTGCTGTGGGTGCTGCTGTGGGTGCTGCTGACTGGCCGCGGCCCGAAGGTCGACGACACTGTGTCGGTCCCGCGGCGAGCTGCGCGTCGACGACGGCTGCGAGTGCGATGTCGCCGACCCGTGCTGGGACGTCGGCGACGACGAGCTGGAAGAGGCGGTCCGGAAGGCGGGACTCCCGTGGCTCTGGGACACACCCTCGACGGGGTACGTCCGCCCGATCTGGTTCTGCTGCTCGCTCTGGGTCTTGCGCCATTGGTCGGCGACGACGGTGACCCGGAAGCCCCACTGCGTCTCGAATTGGTTGTCCCATTCCTGCACCAGTGGGTCCGTCGGGAAGTATTTGCTATACGTCTGCACGCAATCCCGGCGTCAGTACTGCGGCCGTCAATGAGCTGCGGGATAACGGTGTCTTACCCAGATGGTGCATGCCGCTGAGGAATTTGTAACGTGAGAAACGTGACGGAAGGAGACAAATGAACCGCCTTACAAAGGATGGTGTTCTTGGCGCGTAAGCCCGTTG